GATTTTTCTGTTTTAACTGTTTGCAGAGATGTCCGTGCGCATGTCCAACCTGGAGAACGACCGGGACGAGCGGGACGATGACAGCCACGAGGAYAGAGGAATCAGTGAGTGCCAAACCACGGTGCTGGGAGGGTAAATCAGCCATTGGGTTTTTATTATGCTGGATTTGAACATGTGAGGAGGCCCAGTGTTCATCACCAGCAGAAAATGACAGAACAAAGKCATTGTTTTAATTCCATGTTTTATTTCAAACATCCAGTGCACCTTTATTCTCATGCTGAAAAATCCAGTTTTTCACTTTTAAAAGATAATTCTACATTAGGTGTGGAGGAGTTTTGTCCCTTATAATCCCATCATGAGCACTTCCAGAAATAGCTCTGATCAGCTTAAAAATTGCCACTTGGACTGTGGAAAACTCTTCCTCTTGCTCAGCCTTGGAAAGTCTGKCAAATATGGTCAGCAAACATGGCAGTGAATGTTCCCTGCACTGATTTGGGGTGCCAGCAGCTCTGTGCCATGCAGGCAGTGGTGCTTTGCATCATCCTGGGGTGCTGGAGGTGGGGCTGGTGCACCCAAACTCCAGGAGAGCTCTGGTGTCAGAGCAGATCCCTACCTCTGGGCCCTCACTAAAACAAAGCTGAAGCTGTGTCAACACTCAGAGATGGAAATTGAGCTTCAGGGCTTGCATCTGCTGCTCCTCCACGTCCCTTTCTGTTTTATTTGGGGTCAGCTTGCGGTGCTGTCACAGGTTCCCCAGCCCAGGGGAAGGAGCTGGGCTGGACCCTGACCTGCTCCCGTTTAAACTCGATGTTTTCTGCTCCGGTGTCTCTGGCCAGAGCAGGTGCTGGACTCAGTAAAGCCCCGCTCTGAGCTGGTTCTGTTTGGTGTCCCCGCAGTCAGCAACACGCGTTTCATCGCGGCCGTCATCGAGCGCCACGCGCACAGCCCCGAGCGCCGCCGCCGCTACTGGGGCCGCTCGGGCACCGAGAGCGACCACGGTGAGTGCTGGGCCAGCCTGCAGGCCTTGGGGGGCTCGGTGTGCTTCAGGAGATGCTGTGGGGTGGGGGCTCAGTGTCCTTCAGGAGCCCACCTTGGGGTGGGGGGCTCAGTGTCCTCAGGAGATGCTGTGGGGTGGGGGCTCACTGCTCACTGTCCTTCAGGAGACCACCTTGAGGGGCTCACTGTCCTTCAGGAGCCTACTATGGGGTGGGGAGCTCACTGCTCGCTGTCCTTCAGGAGCTGCCGTGGGGTGGGGGCTCGCTGTCCTTCAGGAGCCCACCTTGGGGTGGGGGCTCATTGCTCACTGTCCTTCAGGAGCCTGCCATGGGGTGGGGAGCTCACTGCTCGCTGTCCTTCAGGAGCTGCCGTGGGGTGGGGGCTCGCTGTCCTTCAGGAGCCCACCTTGGGGTGGGGGCTCATTGCTCACTGTCCTTCAGGAGCCTGCCATGGGGTGGGGGGCTCACTGCTCTCTGTCCTTCAGGAGCTGCTGTGGGGTGGGGGGCTTGGTGTCCTTCAGGAGCTGCTGTGGGGTGGGGGCTCACTGCTTGCTGTCCTTTAGGAGCCCACCTTGGGGTGGGGGGCTCACTGCTCACTGTCCTTCAGGAGCCTGCCATGGGGTGGGTCAGGCAGCCAAAACTCGAGCCAGACAGAAATCTTCGCTCTCTCCTGCTTGGCTGTGGGATGGGTCTGACACGGGGTCTCACAAGGGAGACCTCCCCAGGGTTTTCAGCCTCCTCTCTCTCTGCTCCTGTGACCAGGGACCCAGGAAAGGGCTGGAGCTGTGCCGGGGAGGTTCAGTTGGTATCAGGAAAATTCTTCCCCACAAGGGAGCTGGCGTGACAGGACAGGGGGAATGGGAACTGAAAGGGAGGAGGATTAGATTGGATGTTGGAAAGGAATTCTTCCTGTGAGGGTGAGCAGGCCCTGGCACAGGGTGCCCAGAGCAGCTGTGGCTGCCCCTGGATCCGTGGCAGTGCCCAAAGCCAGGTTGGATGGGTTTGGAGCACCCTGGGATGATGGAAGGTGTTCCTGCCATGTCAGGGTAAGTTTGGATCATCTCCAATGCCCTTTCCAACCCAACCCATTCTGCCATTCTGTGATCTTCCAGCACCTCAAATCCTGCTCACCACGAGGTTCAGGGGGTTGGGATGTGTCTCTCCTGCCCTGAGACGAAATCTCCTTCAATCTGGAAAGCTGCTAGGAGGGAGTAATGCTGTTGACTCATGAGGAGGCTTAATTTATTAGGAAATGAGGAGGAGGAGGGTCAGACAAGGCAGTCTGCAAGCTGTCAGCTCTGCAGGGCTGGGCACCTCACAGYGAGCTGGCTCAGCACTGGGACAGCACTAATGGAATTGGGACAGGAAACCCAAAGGACAAACCCTGGGAATGTGGACGAACAGATGTCTCCCAGACAATCTTGCTCTAGGAGGAATTACCCTGGATTTGGGGCCAGATTACCTGTGCTGAGGCAGATTTGCCTGATTAACGCTCTCTTTGCTCTTTTTCTTGCATCCCAGCAAATCCTCCCCATCTTTTGGTGATCCTGGGTTAGCAGGGGAGCTGTCTGCCTCCATCTGCAATGGRCACTGCTATTTTTGTTCCTGTAATTCCATCTTCCTCAAAGGGCTGCCCAGGCTTCTTCCCCAGTTCCTCCCTGACTCACAGCAGTGGCAATGGGAGCCAGCTTTGGGGACTCAGCTGCTATTTTTACCACCCTCCTTTTAGGTGTCTCCAGCTGAAAACCTGACTGAGATGCTCAGGAGAGCACTGGTGGTTCCTCAGCCTTTAGTCCAAGGTTTTTGAGGATTTATTTCCAGTTAAAGCAATATCCTTCTCTTTTTAAATTGTGTTGTTGCATTTAGAAATGCTGAGGGGGAGTTGTTTGCTCTGCAGCCTGGGCTGAGTGGGAWCAGCTGGTTTGGGTAAACCCAAATCTCCCAGGAACAGGAGCACCTGCTCCAAATAGAGGGACAGAATTTCTCTGAGGGACCTGTTAGGAGATGGGCTCCTGCTGGGAGAGGAAGGGCTGTGCCAGCTGCCTTCCCAGGGACATCATTTCCCTCAGATATCCCAGGGAATGGGATGTCTCATCCCTCCTGGTCTGGATTTGGACTCCTCASACTCTAATAGCAGATATTTTAGCCAGAAGAGAGCCTGGAGTGAATTGCTCCATRTGTGAGAGCYCAGCTGGAGGTGTGGGTACCCTTTRGCTTCATGGTCCTGCTCTGTGAACCCTTCCCAGGTGCATTCCATACATTTTGTTAACAATAAGATCACCTGCATTAAACACTTTTGCCTGGGTTTTGCAAACAGGTGAAAATCATCCTGTTAAAAATAAAACACAACACCTGGAGGTGAAGAGCTTTTGCTGCTTTGAGATCCAATAACTGGGAATCCTTCCCAGGAAAGGTGGAGGTGCTGGGAGTGGATCCCACTTATTTATTGTCTTTTAAAAATCCAGATTAAGTTTTAACAGATGTTTTTGGGATGGTATATTTTATGTCTTTGTTTGAAATCAGTACCAGAATTCTGTCAAAACAAACTGTTGAATGGGTGGGTGTTGGTACTCCTTGAGGTGGCACGAAGATCCCCAGGGGTGGTGGCAGGAAAAGGGACCCATTGTGGCATGGGTTTGTTGGGGTTTGTTCTATTAATTAAAAAAATCATTTTATTCCCTCTCTAAGCACCCAGTGTGGTGTTCCATGAAGGTGCCCAGCCAGCCCTGGGCATTGTGAGTGCCAGGGAAAGGGATCCATTGTGGCCTTAGGGGAGAGGATGAGTGTTGGGGTTTGTTTTATTAATTTAAAAACCAGTTTTATTCACTCTCTAAGCACCATGTGTGTGATTCCATGAAGGTGCCCATCCACTGCTGGGAATTCTGAGTGCCAGGGAAAGCGATCCATAAAGGCCTTAGAGGAGAGCATGAGTTTGTTGGGGTTTGTTGTATGAAGTAAGAAATAGTTTTACACCCTGTGGGGTTCCATGAGGGGCTCAGCCAGCCCTGGGCATTGTGAGTGTCAGGGAAAGGGATCCATAATGGCCTTAGAGGAAAGGATGAGTTTGTTGGGGTTTGTTGTGTGAAGAAATAGTTTTATACCCTGTGGGGGGTTCCATGAGGGGCCCAGCCAGCCCTGCGCATTGTGAGTGTCAGGGAAAGGGATCCATAATGGCCTTAGAGGAGAGGATGAGTTTGTTGGGGTTTGTTGTATGAAGTAAGAAATAGTTTTATATCCTGTGGGGTTTCATGAAGGGGCTCAGCCAGCCCTGGGAATTCTGAGTGCCAGGGAAAGCGATCCATAATGGTCCTAAGAGGAGAGGATGAGTGTTGGGGTTTGTTGTATGAAGTATGAAATAGTTTTATATCCTGTGGGGTTTCATGAGGGGCCCAGCCAGCCCTGGGCATTGTGAGCATCCAGCCT